TCATCGCCCTGATGACGGAGGCAGTATGACCTCTGAAACGTTGGTAAACATCGACCAGACTACACAGCGCAACAACCCGGAAGACAGAAATCTTCAAAATTATTTAAGTTCCCTTGTTTCAATTCACAGGCAAGACACATCCAAATTCTGGTTCTGATGTTCTTCACTGAGCTGAATGAGCGACAGGGTTTCCTCATGCAGAATGACAGTACAACAAAAATGGTAAGTCGGCCGCACAAAATGACGCCGAAACATAAAAAATGATGACCTATAAACTGTCAAGCTGGTGGGACAGATATTTACCATCCTTGGTACTAGATTGTGGTGAGTGGTCATGTTCAGGCTCCGGTTGTCGGGCGAATTTAATATTAGGGCTAGCTGGGGGCTAGCCCTAATATTACGTGAAGCTCAAAATTAACCTACCAAAATCTTCAAAAAGATATCATCTTACACATAAATTACTATGCTACAGTATAGATCTCCGTAAGATCTACAGATATTATTTCCTTCATATGAACACAGTGGTCGCCTTCAAGTCGATATATTTCGTTCGTATGATGGGAAATGTTAAATTCGTTCTTTTATTGTTTAGTAAAATAATAAATGACTTGACTTTGATAGAGTATAAATTTAATTACATATCTCTAGAGTTCGTGTGGAAATGAGTAACTAACACAATGTTAAAATCTGACGCTGCAAATTCTGAGGATTTCCTGTGTGGACTTCGAGACGCTGACCAACTCATTACTCAGAATCGCCATGAGATCATCCTCTCAACTGACCCAATAAACCGACAATGTTGACTCTGTCTGAACACCAAGGTTTTCCAGATGTTTTGGTCCAAAACAACCGGCTATCTTACTCTGACGCATCATGCGATATGGATTCTGAAGTTTCTGACATGATCCATCACGGCTGACGACCACTTAAATTCCTGATTCATACTTGGGAGGTACTGGATTAAATTCTCCGCACAGAGATATGCTAATCGGAGGGCATGCGTTGTTTTCTGCAGTACCTCTAGGAAAATTCCTGGATCGTACCTCAATATGGTCCATGGCTGCTTCCTTCCACAGATTTTAAGTTAATAAAACATATCACTGTCCCATTCTTAGACCCATAGAACTAATGAATAATCTAAGACCAATTTCTCGTCTTTACGAAAGGAACTGTAGATTTACACATCCTGAACAACGTCTCGTAACGCTACCCACTCACACGAACTGTTTGGATGTAAAACTGATCTCTTGCCCTTTCGGAATAAAAATACATATTAAGGGTTTAGTATCTTAATTTATGCTGTAGATCATTTAAAATCCACATCATAATTTTTTCAGTCTGCTTCAGCTAGCTTTGTTGCGTTCCATGAATACTCTTAACTCCCATCCTCTCACACCAACAAGAGGACAGCGTGTGAAAAAAATAAATAAAAATAAAAATGTACAACACGCTCGCCTGGTCTTGGCATATGGCTACGTCACACTTTCATGCAAAACAAAGCAAACCGCAAGACGTCGGGGTTCCCGCAAAGTCTGCGTCATCAGGCGTGACGTAACGAAAATGGACTGCAGCTTCCATACTAAAACTGTACTCTTCACCAAATATATAACTGGTGATAAATTCAGTAATGAAACGTGTGTGGTAGAGAGCTGGAGTGCATACAAAACTTTATAGAAAAATCTTTTCTTTTTCAGAAGGGAATGGAATGGAACATGAGAATGTGCGCTATATTCTAGTGGTGGGCTCTTGCGAGCGCAGTAATGAACATTTGGCTTCTATAAAAGGCTAAAATGTTCTTGACTCTACTCCATAGACTTAGTCCCAGGGATAAGTACTGATAATGTACGTATGTGATTTTGCGAGGACGTCAGATTATTTCTGCAGGAAGGAACAACCAAATGTGACCTGTTTGGGATCTCCCAGAGTGATCACGCCAACTTTCGGTCCAGTTGTGAATTTCATTGGCAGTGAAAACGGAAATACGCACACTGATTCACAACGAACGTGTTCGTTTCTCCTTTCCGGCAGTACCAACAAATAATCGGTGGTACGAAACAGACAGTACTAATCCCTCGCTTTAAGAACGTTATTCGTTCGATGAAAACTGTTCGCAAGATGCAATTTTGTAAATCGAAAATAAAATTCCCACAAACTGCAAAGGATAAAATTCGGAATGGTTTCCGACTCCGAGAAAAACCACTCAATATTTTCCCCATATGTTAAAAGAGTTCGTACAATCATAAACATAAGAACAGTATTAATTGTTATGATAGTTACTACCTACTTAACCCTTTAAAGCACCGTTAAAGTGTTAAATCAAATGTTTACATGCTATAGCAGTTACTATAATTACAGTATAAACATACGTAAACAATTGTAGTCCTCCGCGTTCGTTACTTTCAAAGCAGACACTCGGCCCTCGGACGGTTCTTCTTTGTAACGAAAATAATGTTCGTAAATTAAAAAAAAAACACAGGTATGAATTAAAGGTAAAGTTGTCTCTGTACTTAAGTAAGCATTATGCCATTGAGGGGTATGGCATAATAATGGTAGAGCTACAAGAATTATTAACCTCGCCATTAGATGGAGATAGTGGTCAGCTTCGCGGTCGGTGTCTTTGGATAGGTAGGGAGAGGACCCCAGAGCCCATCTGGACACCATGGTAGCGAAGAGAGAAAAAACTGCCTCTGACGGGAATCTAACCCCGGTCGTACAGCTTGTAGATCATTACTATAGTAACTGAGCTGTCCTGGCTCCGACCTAATAATTCTAAATTTATTAAATTAAAATATAACGATGTTATTTTTCTCGGAGAAACAAGCTGTCGCCATCTTCAAAGCCGAAGAACAATATCCTCATCTCAACCGCCGTGATAACCTCAAATCTCACATTAGAAGATAACTTATTAGATCCTATCATGTGTCAGTGCCAGATTATATAAATTCCAGTGTTTTAAAGTATTTTATGAATGTCTTTGGCGATGGTATTACGTTAGTGATTTCTTTGTTTTGAGCGTCATCCATCGTCTACTTTTAAGTCTCAATAAATCTCTTAAAACATTATATACGTCTCGAAGTATGGATCTTCTCTCTTCCTTGCTTAAACGGCAGGAGGGGGTGACACCTATTCAGTTGGATCCGGTAGACTGAGCTAATCCCGATCTGTAGTATTTTTAATTAATTAAATTTTGTGGACATGGAAAGAAGAATTTTTAAGCACAACGATGTGGTTCGAACAACAGCAGACAAGTCACTTCTTGTTATACAATAAACTGATGTTTCTAACAGGGGTCTACGTTTCCACGTTCCCCACACTTGGCTGCGACCTTAAGGCTTTGCCCCAACATCTGGACGAGTTTAATGAATATTTTCCCATTGAAACAGATCCTCAGACAGGATGTACGTGGGCAATAGAAACACTCTTCCTTTCTGGCAGAGACACAATTTCACTGTCGCTCTCAGAAAACGTTTCTTTTTGTGTTATCAATTGTCCCACATTTTGGAAAAAAAGACGTATTTGTTAGCTTCTAGCAAAAACTGGGTGTACGTATACAGCGAAACCTAAAAGCAATGAAGAAAACAGAATTA